GCAGATGAAAGTGGAAACACCCAATGACGCAGAGGTTGATGGAACTTGTGTTGCGGAACGCGTTGGAGTGGAAGCCAAAGCTGGCCCGCAGTGCCCCGATGCAACGCCCATCCTAAGCACAAGAACTGCCATGAGCCTGATCAGCTGCACGTGTCAGCATGGCACGCCACGAAAGGACGAACCACGACGTCATCGTGGCTGCCGCATCGATAGCCAGCATCGATGAGGCTTTGTACCATCGCTGGATCGTTGCCTGCCACATCGTGACAGGCACCCGCATTACACATGCAGCCTGTGGCGGTTTATAACCGAATAATGCAAACGTGAGGCGGGCAATCCATCCCAATGCACCCCGTCACGGCCCGCACCCCAATAATGAATCCCCCGGCGTGTGCCACACTGACCGCTTCGCATAATGATACCGGCAGCGCGGCATTCCTGGGCTGCTGCGGTCACAGAGACGGGGCTGCCGTCGGCCCAATCCATGTTGAACGTAACAACTGGACCCTATCACCACAGATGGAAGAACCGGGTCAAGAAAGGCTCGTTTGCATTGTAAATGGGTTGATCGAGAGTGAGAGGGATCGGGGAGGTGTTGCTGTAGGCGTCTGGTTGGCAGTCGCCACCACCAAAAGCCGCAGCTTCCAGCTGTAAAACACACAACGGGTAGCAACGGTCAGAACGGTACGAAGGGCTCTGTTCGTTCTTTGCCATTCGAAGTAAAGCGACTCATGCGGGAGGAGCAATCACATCACATGCGGTCCGCAGGTAGTTACCCACCGCAGCCAGACGTTCCTCAAAGGTCGCGTTGATGAGCGTGTCAATCGTGTCGATCAACCTCGCTTCACGGCACGCAGCAATCTGCTCGTTGGTCGAAAAGAGCGATGCGTTTGTGCATTGGCAGCTCAAAGAGTCGATGGTTGTCGTCGTGAGCGTGGTCACAATGTCCATCACCGCTGGTTGAAGACCAGCGAGAAAGACAACCAGCACGGCCGCAACACTGCCCCATTCTTCCGTTCAGCAAAAAGAAATAAAGAAAAAAGCAACAGCTTTCAACACAACGAGAAACGAGAGCTTGCAAAAAGCCCACTCACATGCCAAAGCTTCACGATTGGAAGTTTTCACATCCAAGCATTATCATAATGTGAGAAAAGTGTAACACTGGTTGGATATTCGAAACACCCATTCTGCTCAGAGTTGGGTTTGAGAGAGACATGTGCGGGCATATGCCTCGCCACCAAACGCTCAAGGTTGACCATTCGATTGATGTGAAAGCAATGAACACCAACCAGCCATGGGGAGCGTCAGGGCAGAAGAACAGTTGTTGATGCAAGCGCAATCATGCGCTTTTATCAATAACAAATTGAATTTGATAAGCACAGGCAAGGGTCTGGTTGGCTTGAATGTAAACATCCATCGTACCAGACGCTACATCGGTGAGCGTCTGAAAGTGCAACATACCACTGTTCTGATAGATTGACAAAGTGATGGGACTATCATTGTGAACGAAGGTCGTGTTGATAAACGGCTCCATGCAGTCGAGAGGGTCACCATTCATCGGGCCAATCTTAAACACGTAATTAGCACTGGTAGCGAGATTAGCTTCAAACACGTCCGTTTCACCTTCACAGAGCGTGAGGTTATAAACGTATTGATTGAAGGTGAGAGGGATTGGAGAGGTGTTGCTGTAGGCGTCTGGTTGGCAGTCGCCACCACCAAAAGCCGCAGCTTCCAGCTGTAAAACACACACAGGGCGGTACCGGTCAGAATGCTACGAAGGGCTTGTGTTCTTTCTTTCTTCTTTTTTTTTTTTTTTTCAGCGGGCAGGGGGAAGCTTTGAAGCAAAGTGAAAAAAAACAATGGCAGGGGCGAGCACATCACATGCGGTCCGCAGGCAGTACCTACCGCAGCCAGACGTTCCTCAAAGGTCGCGTTGATGAGCGTGTCAATCGTGTCGATCAACCTCGCTTCACGGCACGCAGCAATCTGCTCGTTGGTCGAAAAGAGCGATGCGTTTGTGCATTGGCAGCTCAAAGAGTCGATGGTTGTCGTCGTGAGCGTGGTCACAATGTCCATCACCGCTGGCTGAAGACCAGCGAGAAAGACGACCAGCACGGCCGCAATGGCCAACCTCCACTGCCCCATTATCCTGTTCAGCAAAAAGACTCACATGTGAATCAAGAAGCAACAGCTCTCGACGAGAGAGAGCTCAACACACACACACACACACACACCACTCACGACTTCAACGTTCAACACACACAGTACAAATCCAAAAGCCCACTCACCAGCCAATGCAAACCTTTATGAGCATTAGACACCTTCTACCTCACTTAAATGCGATGGTACTGAAGTGTTTTTCCGACTTAAATGGAATTTCTGACAATTTTCACATTTAAGTCGCCCCCAAAAACCTCGTGAAATCCAGAAAACTGGAGTTTTCTTTGTTCTCGCCACTTTTTGGAAGTGACTTAATGGGAATTGCAATTCAAATTCCTATTAAGTCGAGTCTTGTCATAAATGGCATCGCCTAACATGAATTCAGGCATCGGAGTGCCCCACAATGTTGCTCTACCGCAGGTCGAATGTGCCTTGTTTGGTTTTCTCGATTCAACTCGTGGGAGGTGCTCTTCGGTACTGGTAGCCGTCCTCATCACTGAGACGCAAACGCCCAAGTTGGTCCAAATTTCTTTTAAAATCACAGAAAAGTTCTTAAATTTCCATTAAAGTTTTTAAATTTCCATTTAACTCAGCGTTACATCTTCAATTTGTATGTTAAAACCGTCAAAGTGTAATACTTGTCGCACTAACTTAAAAGTGCTGCTAAAGTCACCCCCATTAAGTCGGGTAGAAGGTGTCTAATATTATTTACAATAAATGTCAGTATTTTTAGGACACTCGAGGTCTAATGTCATGATTGGCCACAGTAAGAGTTTTCCCCTAAACCAAGTGAAACAAAGTGGTGGGTAAGCTTTTTTTTTGGTCCGTTGTGCTGACCATGCCTGTGACGATTGGTGGACCATCGATGTGCACCGTGTGAGTCGTGTCAGAGCTGAATATTGAAGGGCCTACGAGTCATGAGCAGCCCAATACAGTATGCCTGACCCGAAGCACCTTTTGCAGCCATTTCGCACAACCTCTGCCTCCTCTTCGCCACCCGCGATCCTTTTCATCCTTGACAACACCTCAGAATTGGCTTGGGGGTCAAAACAAGCGTTTCGGGAGGCTACCGCTACCACTTGTCATTCATAGTGAAAGACTTGGTCACACTTTGGGCGATGTTGCAATCACACCTTTTGAGCCAAGCACCTTCTGAGACTGTTGACAACAATAACCCTCCAATCCTCTACAAAAGCTAACGTTGTAATTCTTACGATAAATACAATAACCCCGTTTGGAAACCCAATAGCAACATCAACAGCTTGTCTTGCTCCCTCTGACGAGGGAGCACAAACCCCCTCTGCCACGCCCACGCCACCCACCTCTGGCTTTCCTGCCTTTTCAACCCCCTCTCTCTGCCAATCCGTTTAATATCCTCCTATACACCAACCCCCAAGCCCCCTCCCTCTCTGAAAGAGAACCACCCTGCGCTCCCTTTCTCTGCGCCCTTTTCTTGTTTTGGTCTCTTTCGAGTGTTAGAGAATCAGAGACGATGTTGTTCATCTGCACACGCTCAGAGGAAGTGATTTTTGTCGTTCACACTTGTTAAATTTGATCACCAAACCCCTTTGGTGCCAGAGGTACACCCACGACCCGAGCCAAATTCAGAGATATAGTGATGGCTCAAAAGCCACTTGCTTGACTGTTTTTATTTTTTTTCAACAGTGAGTGTTGGCGCGATCTCGGATCGGGTCCGGCATCGCTTGAAGTCAGGTCCTGCCAGTGACTTGCACTGCCCCGAAGCTGCTTCGTGCCTCTTTTCCTTTTCTACAACGCGTTGGTGAAACATCAGGTACGCGGGCATGGACTTGTTCTTGTTCTGTGCGCGTCAGCCTCAAATCCTGGCTCACTCATGTTTGGCACGCGCCAACAGGCTTGTCGATACATCAATCGACATCATGTCCAAGGCCCTTTTGGGGCTGCTGCTGCTTCTGGCAGTGAGCGCCATCCCGACTCGAGGTCAGACTGCTCAGCAACTTGCGGCTGAACGGGCTGCCATTGTCACGCAAGATGGCTCGGATCTCGTCATGCACGCCAAGGCTGTCCAGGTTCGTGTGTGTGTGTGTGTGTGTGTGTGTGTGTGTGTGTGTGTGTGTGTGTGTGCTGTGTATGTGTCTGTGTGCTGTGTGCTGTCATTCGCTGAATATCGCCTTCAACAAGCCGCAACAGATACGCGCCAGCAGCCAGCCACACGACTCCTGCTCAATTTTCTCCAACTATTTCTGTATAGATGCAATCTCCCGATGTCGTCGTAGCCGTGACTGGGCAGAACATCGATGTCGAGGCAACCACCTGGAATGCCAATGCCTCCCATGTCCAAGTCAACGCCTCACGTGCCATCGTCTTTGGCGATGGCGCCACGGGCCTCACCATGGCTGCCGGCAGTGCCACCCTTGTGGCCAGCGCTGACCTCAGCCTCAACGCCACTCATTCCTCCGGCCTCCAATTTGATGCCCAGCATGCTGTCATCTTGGACACTCAGAATGCTGTGACCATGCGCACCAACGGCGACACCCAGTTTCAGGTGTCGGGCGACGCCACCTTGGAAGCCGCTGCCGTGCGAGTACATGCCACCTCCTTGGAGCTTGAAGGCAGCGACAACTCTGCCTTGACCCTTGACGACGCGGGCAATCTTCACCTCAATGCCAACAACCTACAAGTGGGTCAAGGCACCGAAGCTGACGTACAAGTCCAAGCTGCGACGCTTCAGCTCGCCGGCGACAACGATAACAAACGCCTCCGACTGAACCAAGACACCGTTGAGTTTCACTCCAACTCGGGCATCACCCTTCGCGCTGGCGCTGCCACCCTCGACGTCGACGCCACTGCCAAGGTCGGTCCTCCCCGTCTCGCCATTCACCCAATCCCACTGCCCTTTGCTTTTGGTAAAACCATCGACGGCAGCCTCATTCGCCGGTGAGATCATGCCTCACCAATCCCGGCATGTCTTATCTCCTTGCGCTCCAGCTTTTGGCCGACCTCGTGCAGCAAGTGGCCAGTCTCAAATCAGAGTACAATGACATGACCGATACCTTTGACGATCTCACCCTGAAGCACGAACAGGAAGCCAGCCTCTTGCGCGCCGACACCAACCACATCTCCCAAGAGGTTTCACAGGAAGCTTCCCAGGTTGACGTGCAGATGGATCAAGTCGAGAGCCAAGTCGAATCCATTGCTGTCGGTGCCTCGACCGAGGTCAATGTTCTCGTCTCCCAGCTCAACTCGGACATTGACACTGCCGAGTCCAACGTTGATGCTCTCGAAGCCTTGCATTCCCAGCTCACGGAAACATTGGGCACTGACCAAACCTCCCTCCGTCAAAGTCTCAGTCAGCTCGAAAGTGCCGATCTCGTTGAGCTACAAGGCGTCGTTCAGGTTAGCCCGCCGCCTTCTACTGAGACGCTTGTAAAGCTAAAACTTGACCGTACCGCTCGCGCCGCTTTGCCTACACAGCCCCGACTCACGCTTTGAACAATGCTTTTTGTGCCCCCACCCTTCCTTTCTCTCTCTCTCTCTCTCTCTCTCTCTCTCTCTCTCTCTCTCTCTCTCTCTCTCTCTCTCTCTCTCTCTCGCTCTCTTGTCCATTAGGACGCATCCAGTCTTTCCCAAGCCGTCAATCAAGACTTCAACTTGTTGGAAACACGCCTTTCCGCCCTCGACGCTGGGGCCAGCATCGACGTCTCGGCGTTGGCCAAGAGCCTTGATGATTCCGGATCTGTTCTGGACACGGTGGAGGACCAAATGGCTTCCGTTGAAACATACGTGGCAGCTCAAGTTGATGTGGCTGACTCCCGGCTTGACCCTATCGAAGCTCACGTCAATGTTGTGGATGATGCCGTGGATTCCGTTCGGGACCGTGTCAATGCCTTGAACGCCCGTCGTCAAAGCGTAAGTTGACAACTTGAGGCGCCACGCTTGACACGAAAACTGAATCTGTCACTCATGCGTGCCCGCGCTATTTAGCTGGAGACGGCCTTTGATGATCTGGAGGTTGTCGATGAACAAAGCTTGAGTCAAATCTCGGTATGTCGGTTTCTTCTCTTGGTACTCGTGACGGCTCTAGTCCAGCCCGATGAAATCATGCCTTGTTTTAATCGGCTTGCTTGAAGACACAAATGAGCACAATGGAGAAGGATCTGCAGCCCTTCAAGGACAGCGCTTCCTTTTGGTCGGATGAGGCCTTGGAGTATCAATTGGAGGCAACTTCAAAGACGACCAATGCCAATCTTGGTAAATCCAACTGTTCCTCCCGTCAATCTGCGCGCTCTACCATCAGAACCCACAGAGTCCCTTCAATCTCATGGGGCATATTGGTCCTAGGATCGACCTGTGCTAGCCATGGCCTCTACCTCTTGTGTGGTGCTCCATACCATACTTCAACACCTTATGGCCTCGTTACGGTGAGTCAGCTCCCTGTCACAGATCGATGCGTCGTCGACAAAATGCCGCCTGTTTATCACGTTTGTTTGTCGGTTTTTTCTCATAAATTGCAATTTTTTTTCCTCATGGCCCTGTCCCGTTTTAGGTTTGGAAGCTGAATGAGACCAGCAGAGAAATGTATCATCTTGAAGACATCAAACTCAAGTCCTCCGGCAACTCTTTCAATAACCCCTCCTCTACCCCTTATTTTGGAGCAAGTGTGGACTTTGATGGCAAGACCCTCATTGTGGGTGCGCCCTATGACTACCATGCGTCCTACGGCTACACGGGCAGCGGTCGTATCTACGTCTTTGAGCTGGACGAAACAACCGACAAATTCGGGTACGCAAGATGCGCCACGACAAGCCACCAACTGCTCACATACCATGGCTTCTAAACACCGACTCACGTGTGGGCTGTTGAATGCAGGGACCCCATTGGCGTCATTTCCGGCACCCAAGCACGCTCCTCTTCATATTGCGGAAGCAGTGTTAAGCTTGTGGAGTCCAACGTTTTCGTCTTTGCATGTGCCTACGATTACTATGCCTCCGCTTATGCTGGGTACGACCACTTGCGAGCTGCATGTTGCCCACTATAAATGAAATCTGGCGCTCGCCTTTCAACCTCACAAAACCCCGCTGGCGCGTGCTCCAATATTGTCTTGAGATAGAACTGTTCAACAATTCCGCTTCACCAAGAGTGGATCTTCTGTAATCTTTACCTACCTAGGTCTTGGCTACCCCGGCGTTCGTGACGTACGTCAAGACTACGTCCGATCCCAACTGTCGAATCTTTTTCTTGCCCGATGCTCATGCTGACTCGTGCATATGTGCAGAGTGGCGAGTATCTTGGCAACTACAATGGTGATTGGCGCCGCACGATGGGCTTTGCAGCCGCTGGCTCGGTTGTCGCTGCAGGCACTCCATATGCTGATTCCTATGGCGTAAGTCGAGTGAATTTGAATAACTTTTTGGGGGATTGCTAATGGGTGCACGACTCACAGACAACTGCTTCTCATTACAGACCAACGATGGCATGGTCAACCTTTTCCTGCGTCGGGCGAGCTCATTGTCTTACGTCAGAGTGATCCCGACACCCTGTGCAGCAGTCTCGTACGTTGTCCATGCCTACTTGTCACTGGCCGCATCCCTGACTCTCCTCTCACACATGCGCCTCGGTTTTGCCAAATACTATGGTTATCCAGATCGTGTTACTTTGGCGGTAGCCTGGCCCTTAGTGGTGACGGTCTCACTTTGGCTGTGAGCGGCGAACGCGCACACGTAAGCCTACCGCCGATCGGCAATTCGAGGGATATTTCCCTTCTCTGCTTTGACATTCCAACCTGATACCTGATTTTTTTCGGGGCGCCTGCAGTCAACAGCCTTGTCGTACAGCGGCATCGTTTACATTTATCGCCTCACCGTGTCCACGTCCACTATCACATACTCTTCCGCGACCATTGTACGTTGACGTAACACTTGCACAACTGTGAGCAAGGCACGATCTGACATGGCTGTGCCTGCACAGATTGAATCGCCGTCCCCGGTTTCCTATGGGTACTTTGGCACCAATGTGTTCCTTTCTGCGAATGGCCTGAAACTTCTGGTCACAGCGCGCGGTAAGCTCGCCTGAAAATTGTGCTTGACCGTGCGGTGTGACTTATTCTTCAACAAGAACACGCCATCTGATGCGCTAATTTTTGGCTGTTCTAGCGGAGGGCACCGGTACCCTCCACGCCTTCCAGCGCAGCAGCACATCAGACACATTCAATCAGGAATACAGCTGGATACCAGAGAACTGTACGTACCCAGTGCTTGAAGGCAAAATGTTCAAATAGATGAACGTGCGGCTGGTCAGCGGCCCCTCAAATACCGCGGTGGCCTGTGCCTTTGTTCTACGTAGCTGGAGGCACAGCGGGCTACGGTGTCACGATGACCGGCAATTTCACCGCCATGGGTTGTCCTTTCGCTGATCCTACAAGCTGTAAGTCATTAACCGCGCTCCAGGACCACGCTTGCTTCTTCTTTTTCTCTTCTTTTTTTTTTTCTTTCTCATCGCACCATCCGCCGGTCCAGATTCCAACGCAGGACGCGTCGCGGTGCGAATTCCCATCGATCATTTTCCTCGCGTCTCCGCATAAGCGGACCACACATGTGGTTGTGCTTTTGCAGCGAAGCGTCACGACCTTTCCTCTTATGCGGGATTTGTCAATTGAATACAAGCGCACACCAATTCATTTACAGCTCATTTTGTCCCGTGGATTGCAACACGAGCCAGTCAGCCCGAGGGTCCGCCACCCTCCTCATCCTCAAACCATAATAAATTTTCTTCTGTGAGTGGAATAATGGTGAACGAAATCAAAAACAATTTCTTGTGTCTTGTGGTTGTGTGATCGACCACGCGCTTCTGCGCGAAAAACGATTTCGAGCATGGCGGAGCAGCGAAAAAAGGGCAGACATGCCTTCAAGACAGAGCGAGAGGATCATTGTGAGACGCCCTTTGAGGCGTACAAAGACATTGCTCCACTCCTGCACCAGGTGGCTGGCATGCTGGGGAAGAATGCGGATGAGGTCCAACTCTACGAGTATGTTGCCGCCGGCTCGAGTTGCTCCGCCGCGTGCGCATCTTGTCCAGCCATTCACGTTGAATCCTCTTCTTGTGCAAATCAAACCTGGCCGTCGCGCAGTCCCTACTATTGTGCTGGTACAACGAAGAAGCATTTGGCGCGTCTTGGATTCCCCAACGTCTACAATGAGAACGTGGACTTTTACGAGGTACGTCAGCAAACCCTGCATAATTCTCTCTCGCTCTCTCTCTCTCGCTCTCTCCCTCTCTTGCTCTCTCCAGCCTCTGCAGATATCCGTGGTCACATCATCACCGTGGTGCCTGGTGGGGTAGGCTGTACGCTCGGAGCAAACGCCAGCCTATGACATTCTCATCACCAACCCACCCTTTTCCAACACTCACGTCAATCACATCAAGCGTTTGATGCGCTTCGTGGCCAACTCTGGCAAACCCTTTTTTATCCTGCAGCCCAATTACGTTTATACCAAGCCGTACTATCAAGAGGTCCGAGCCGCCCCAATGCCTTTGCCAAGCGTGCACAAGCCCCGCCAACCCTTTTGCTCTGTTTCCTCTCACCGCATCTCCTCTGACGATCGTGATCCAGCTGATTGTTCAGGACCCGGCAGTGCAGCATGCCGTGGTTACACCCAGCCACCGATATGCGTTCGTCACCCCCGAGGGCTTTCGTGGCCCCTCCAGCGAAGGGGCCACAAAGACGTCACCGTTTTGGTGCTTATGGTACTGCGGCCTGACTCCGTTCCGCGACGAAGTCATCCAATGGTGCGTGTCCCAGCCCTTGGCTTTGCATTTCCGCCCGCATGCACACCAGACTAACAATGCAATGAGACTCCACAGATAAATGCTTTTGTGCCCAGGTCAAGAGTATCTCATTGCTCATGACTCTTGCTCAGGTTTTGTGAGAGTGGCAAAGTGGACATGCCCGGTTGCCGCCTCAAAATTAATACGTCACGCATGCCTGATAAGTTGGTCGCCTTGCCAGCCTCTTTCACCCCCTTGCTTTTGCGCGACCGCTTCTGTCTGGTCAGCTCATGCACTCCATACCTGCTTCAGGTATAAAGACAGCCACGATGACACGCGCCGCCGACTTCGAAAGAAACAGCGAGAGGCTCAGCGGCGCCGACACCATCGTGGACGCGCCATTCCGCGACGCAGCTACATGACAGCCGCTGCTCTTCAAGACCAAACGCAGTAAAAGCTGATGAGCTTTTCTGTTTCGCACAAGGTGTCTGAGACACAAGTGATAGGTGATCGTTGTTCGCCCTTAACAAACCAAACTTGACAAGTGAATTGATGTGAGAGCCACTTCAAACCAGGTCCCTTGACCACATGAACTTGATGAAACAGCCGCGTGATAATCAGCATGACCCGCCATTGGAGACATGAGGCATTGTTCATCGTCGAAGGGCGTGGCACAGAAAAATAAAATTGGTGTAAACATGATTCCAACACGTGTTGACATGATAGGGAGCGCACTCTTGTTAGAGTGCAGCTGCAAGCCAGCCGTCCTTGGCCAGCCACACGCACGCGTGCCGGCTCCTCAGCTCTACTCTTCTTCTTCCTCTTCCTCCTCTTCTCCTGCTGGAAATTGATGTCGCGCTTTGCGCTGCATGAGCTCTGCTTGCATCACCTGCGGACCATCCGGTCAAACAAAGGGGTAAGCAAGAACAAAAAAAAAAAAAAAAAAAAAAGACCGCGCACGCCAATCGCTTTAAAAGATTCCAGCATACCTCATCTTGATAGAAGCGATTGGTATTGAAGCGCGCCACGAGATTGGCCAGCTTGGCCATGTTTTCAGTGGCTGCTGTTTGAGTGAGTTGAGCGAGCAGATGGGACATCTATTCAAGTGTCCATGCACACAACATTAGACGCAGCGCGTTTGCGGTTACTATGCACGAGCAGCAATCACAGCAGACGGCACCGAGGCTACGCACATGTTCCAAAAACTTGGTTTGCAATTTGCGAACATTTTCCATCTGAACGTCATCCGAGGGCTGCTGGACCACGTGGCTTGTCTTGATCAACCGCAAGCTGGCAGCACGGATCCATCGCTACGGCCACATGCATCACACGCGTCTGTCATTTGAGCAAAGAGGTATTTTCCACACCAACTCGTGCAAACAACCAATGACATGGTGTGACAGGCGCTGATCTCAAAGCGACACACCTCCATATAGTCACGGAAGAGTTGACACAATTTCAGAAGCTTGCTTACACTCTGCATTGATTGGACAAAGCAATGTCAGACAGGCCGGACCATCTGCAACGGTCTGAATCGCCCTTTTCACGTCACGCACCTTGAGCAACGCTGGCGCTGTCAGCAAGCACTCTTTGAGGCACGAGTCCAAAAAGTCATTGTGCATGTGGCACATCTCGTCCAATGAACTAGCCGTTCGCAACTGCTCCATAAATATGCGGTGGTTCTGCTCAAGAACCTGCGGTGTGCCATACAAGTTGATCGCCCATTTGAGCACGGCAATCAGAGACAACGACGTTTTGTGCAAAGGATCCATTGTGTTGATGCCTGCTCTTGAAGCAAGAGAAGGCCACGCGCATACCTCGACTGATAGGTAAAACTGCAAGTTGTGTACAAAGTTTAGCATTTGCAGGCGAAGGGCGTAGGCTGTGCTCAGCCTATAACCAGCGAGATTGCGTCCGTGAGCAAATGACTTCCCCGGTGCAACCACGCACCCTAGGCTTGACGCCCCCATGTGTGTGCAACGACCCTTGACTGAGTATACCCACCAAGGTAGATGATGGGCGCGAAGCTGTGGCGTTGTGAAAGAGTAGCTTGCCGATAGATCTGTCTCAATGACCTTTATGTAAAACAGATGGCGAAATACAATCTGGTATTTTCTCAGCAGCTGCAACAACAGCGACCGCGACGGACAAATGAGGTCAACAAGGCTGCGTGTCGGTTGAGTATGGGCTTGGAGTGTGCTTCGACGGTGTCATCTGACCTTGCGGCCCAGGGCCAAGGAAACGGGCCAGGGCGGGTGGTAGTCGATGTAAAAGGCCTCAAAGGCTGCTGTTGGTCCTTCGGCCTCACTGTCAAAATCTGCCTCTGCTAAGCTCAGGAAGGATGTCTGCGAAGCCTGGGAGAAGCAAGGGGTGCAGGAGACATGATATGAAAGGAGTATTTGATCTGGCCACGCGAGGACAGCCAGCAAGAAACCAGGCGATGATGGGGCTTGAGTGGCTCACGTTTTGCGCGGAAATCTTCATAATCCGGAAGAGTTCGCTGACGAGGTTGGTGGAGGCGAAGCGACATGAAAAGTCATCGCGGAAAGCTGCAAAACGCTCGGTACTTGTTCGCTGTGCCAAATCCAGTAGAGTTGAGGTACGTTCCACGGACACATGCTCCGTTGTTTTGCGCAGCTCCTCTATTTTCAGCGCAAGAAGCAAAGAAGGTGGTGAAGGAAATTTGAGAAGAAAAAAAAAAAAAAAAAAAAGAGCCGTGGTGAGAAAAGAGATGCTCAGCGGGTGGCATCGCAAGACGCTTGGACCCTCACCGTGTGCGCAGTCCCAGAAATGGATAAACAAGTCGCCGTTGGTCATGAAGAAGTAGTCTCGCAAGCGCAAGAGCCGTTCAGCCAAGGCGCCTTGCTCGAACATGAGAGACACGGCCAGCTGACTGGCCCGCAGACTGCGCTGCGTTAGAATGGTGCTCAAAATTGTAGTTTCGGGGGCATAGGACAGATCTTCTGCCGGGAGCGGCAGGGTCTCGTCACGGCGGGCACTGTGGACCACGTTGAGGCACTTTCCGATCGTCAGAATGTCGTCTGCCAACTGGCAAGGCGCGTGCGAATGAGGCATTCAAAAGTGAGTGCACAGTTGCTTGATGATAACGGCCCCAAAGAGGCAAAGGACAATCCCGGCCGGATACCAGCGGGGACGACGAACGTCAGTCAGAAAGATGGGAACGCGATCGCGATTGAGGCTGTATTTTTTGCTCCAGTAAAAGTCACTGTAGGCTGGCGAGGCGATGACGCGACCGGTTGACTCGCGAGCCTCTTGCACCATAAACTCCTCGCTGGGATCCTCAATGGCGCCAGTGGAGATCCAACGAGAGAGGCATGCAAAGTAGGGACGAGCCGTCTGGGATGCGTTTGCGTCGATGAGCACACGAGACCGAATACAGATGCGATGGAGACCCGTCGGCGTGCGTACCTCAGCAGTGATCCCCTGAAGCGTTATCTTGGTTACATCGTCACCGGTGGCGGCCGCGCAGGCCATGTGCAATGCGCTTAGGGTGTCAGCGCCGCGGCATCCCTCCTATGTGTGCACATGGACGCCAGACAGGACATGAGAGCTTGCATAAAACTTGGAGAATTGTCATGAGAATGGCAGATTGTAGATGCGAGGAAGGAAAACTCGGATGAAACAGTCGAAGCACAGATATGCCTGTGCACACGCTGTGGGTGGACGAATGGGTAGAGACCTGAAGGAGGCGGAGCGCAAGTTGGCCAAGCACGCGGAAAATGGCGACCGAGGGATATAGGTGGAACCAAAGGGTTTGCAAGGACAGCTGTCCCTGCGCGTGTTGATGCTCGAGCTGGGCTACAAGGACCAGGTAGTCGCGGTTAAAACGCTGCAACGCTCCGGACAAAGCCTGATTGGTGGCACCCTGTTGGAAGCGTCCAAACTCTTAAAGAGGGGGAGAGCGAGAGTGAGAGAGACGGAAACAGGATACCAAAGAGCCCCATCCGTCAAGGTTAGGGCTTGGAGTGTTTCTTCGGGCGAGGCAGCCTCACCATCAATCAGTCGCCCAATGTAATTATAGTCTTGGCACACGGTCAAGATCTTGCTGGTAAGCTCGCGCAAGGCAGCGTCTGGGTCAAGTTGCGACGGTTGTTAGGTGGCCACCAATGAGGCAGGCAGGTAAGCAAGCCGCTGTCAGCACGGGGACGAAGATGTGGGGGCCAACCTGTAATCTGGTCAAGAGAAAAATCTCGTTCGAGATATAGATTCTCGCTCTGCTCCTCTGCAAAGGAGGATCGAATGTAGCGGCCCTCAACGCCGAGCAGGAGGAACAGGAGATCGTCGACCAGGGCCAGCTCCTGAAGCTCTCGAGAGAGCTCATTCAGTGGGGTTGCCTGAGCAACCGTGCATGGTGAGTGTTGACGCTTTGAGTGGACGTGGAGGACAGAGGCCAAGAACAAACCGGGGTCTTGGCGACGAGTTTGATGGTTGAGAAGGCCGTGGTGTGAAATGGGCGCGAGCGCAGCCAGCTCGAGTCTGGAGGAAGAGCTACAAGGCAACACGATCGCAGAAACATGTCAAGTTTTTGTGAGCAAAACGTAAAATATCACAGTCAGTCCGACTGCCGCTCGGCGAGCCAAGCCAAAAGAGGACATCCGTACCAGCTGGCACTTGAGCTAATGGGTGACCAAGGGAGGTGTCGGCCGACTTGGCTTGTTCGGTTTGCTTGAAGCGGGCCAAGCGCTCACGGATCTGTCAGAAATGGGTTCATCAGGTAGGGCGCCATGCATGTTGGTTGGAGGCGCAGGCGAGGATGTAAAGACATGGCGGATTACCTGGTCGATATCGATGGGCCCACTGGCATTGGTCTCGTGGGTTGGCGGTTGGGCGTCTGAGCCAGAGGGGGCGGAGGGAGGTACTCGATCACTGAGGGCATGGTAGAGATGTTGATTTTGGCGCAAGTGTCCAAGGACGGCTAGAAAGCCATCGGCCTCGGCCGCACTAGACATGGACAAAGCGTCCACATGACAGTGGAGTCAGCTGCAGGTGATTGGGGAGGACTACAAATCGATGGGTAAGGGTGGGCGACGTATGATGCGTACTGCTGGGCCGAAAGATGTTGTGCAGCTGATTTAAACTCGTCATGTTGAGGGTTGTTCTCCAGCAACAAGGCCCGAGCTTGCTCAGCCACGGCCTATGACCATGGCCAATGGCGTCGGGTGCGATGAGTAAGTTGTATAAACTTGCCAGTTTTGATGACCCTGGATAAACGGACGGATTGATCGGGATGGGGGCCGCTCGGCAGCAAGATTCATGACAAAGCTAACCTGAACATTTGCAGCGTCCCGCGTCGCCTGGCCCTGAGCTAGGATGGCGACGAGGTCGGGTGCTGCCTCGGACCCAGCGCTAGAGCGGGCAGGCGAAGAGGGAGACATCAGAGTGGGGTGTCAGACACTGGGTAAAGTGGGGGGAGAAGCCAAGAGAGGGGGAAGAAGACAGCGGCGGGTTTGTGTTTCATTCTACCTAGCCAGCTCTACCAGACGGGCAACCAGGTGGTGCTGCGTAAACTCGGCCATGGTCACGGAGCCAGACCGACAAGGTCGTCAAACTCCGCCGCGTCTAAGCCGATGGATCACAGCAAGGAAGTCAGTCGTCCCCCAGACAAGCACCAACCCCACACCCTCAAAACTCCCTAATCTTCACCACCCCCCGCCACGCCTTTACACTAACCCTGCCCCCAGCCCGCCCTTCCCCGTCCAGCCGCTAGCCGGGTGCCCTCACCTGCCGCCGTCCGATCTCTCTCTCTCTCTCTCTCTCAAAAAAAAAAAAAAAATACTCCAACCGTTACAAATTCAACGGCACAAGACGTACAGACGTGGAGCTGCTCTCTCTCTCTCTCTCTCTCTCTCTCTCTCTCTCTCTCTTTTCTCTCTGGATTTGCTTTTGGATTACCTTAGGTAAGACCAGCTTCTTGACCCCCTGAAAGGAGAGCAAGCACAATAAAAGTATTTTACTTACCATTGGTTTGCTGTCATACACGTGGTAGCATCTTTCCCCGTCTCTCTCTCTCTCTCTCTCTCTCTCTCTCTCTCTCTCTCAACCAATAATTCATTCTCTTCTCTCTCTCTCTCTCTCTCTCTCTCTCTCTCTCTCTCTCTCTCTGAGCGCATTTATCTTGTGACGACGAGAGGTGAGGGAGCGCGGGCTCCTGAGGGACTGGGCATGTCAAAGAGGTGGATCGTGTGTTTGATCCGCAGCGCTCGGCTCTGTTGTGGTGGGGGTGGGCCTTGATCATGACGGTGCTCACGCTGGCTTTTTCTGGTGTCTTCATGGGTGTCACGACATAGGAGGAGGGCCTGCTGAGTTTCAAGCAAGCCACCGGCGCCATGGGGATCCTGGATCGGATTGCGGAGATTGAGGCGGAGATGAACCGCACTCAGAAGAACAAGGCCACAGAACATCACCTGGGCCTTTTGAAGGCGCGCATTGCCAAGCTGCGGGCCCAACTCATTGCTGATAGCGAGACCACGGGCCCCAAGGGCGAGGGATTTGAAGTGAGCAAGGCGGGCGATGCGCGCGGTACGCATGTCATGCTCATGTGGTGTCGGAGGTCTCACATCGCGCTTTGGTCGCCGTCTCAACCCGGCTCATCTCCTCTGTGTGTCCCCCTAATGCATGCTCGGCTCTCTGCAGTTGTCATGATTGGCTTCCCGTCTGTTGGCAAGGTTTGTTCACGCCTTGGCTGTTGCTTATGCTTTTATATCCTTCATTTCTGCCTTCATCTCCCTCATTCCTGCCCTCGTCACGTGCAACCCTCCGCCCTCATCCGTCTTTCCATTGACCTGCAGTCGACTCTCCTCACATCCATGACCAAAACCGAGTCAAACTCTGCCTCCTACGAGTTTACGACCCTCACTTGTATCCCTGGCGTTCTCGAGGTTTGTGCCCCTGAGCCATATTCTGCCTCGTCATCGCCCCTCTCCATCCCCCCCTCTCCAGCAAGTCAACCTTGCCTCGACCTGAGCCTCCCGCTTCTGCTCCCCTTTTAGTACTCGGGCTCGCGCATTCAGTTGCTCGATCTTCCTGGTATCATCGAAGGTGCCGCGCAAGGCAAGGGCCGTGGTAAACAGGTGCGAATGTGTCACGTCAACCCTAGCCCCCACCCTGTCACCGCTCACCTTTGGAACCGGAACAATAGGTCATTGCGGTGGCCCGAACCGCAGACTTGGTATTGATGATGCTTGATTGCACCAAGGGCGAAAAGCAAAAGTGCGAATGAATCTTCTGCCTCCCACACCTCGATGCCTTGACGGCTTGAAAGCCACCTCACGATCGCGTTTTTGTCCACAGGGAGCTTTTGACCAAGGAACTCGAATCATGCGGCATTCGCCTCAACCAAAAGCCCCCCAACATTTATTACAAGGTGTTTGCACGCCCTACCACTGCTGCACAAGCCGTCGCACCCTGACTAACCTCACATCGCAATCGCGCTGCTATGTGCCCTGACTGCTCCCTTTGCTCCCGTGGCCTTGCTTCAGCCCAAAAAGGCTGGCGGTGTCTCTTTCAACGCTACCTGCAAGCTGACCAAGGTGGATGAGCGCATGGTAAAGATGGTGCTGCACGAGTACAAGATTCACCACGCCGAAATTCTTTTTCGCGAGGACTGCACCACTGGTTTGTCAAGCTCTGCTGTAACTTCTCTTCCCTCGCAGGATTGCCAGCACGTTTGGCCGCCCTCACGGTGTGCAATGGGTTCACAGAACAACTGATCGATGTCATTGTGGGCAACCGCGTCTATCTCAACTGCCTGTACTGCTACAACAAGATTGATCTGGTCTCTCTGGAAGAATGCTCCCGCCTTGCCCATCTTCCACACTCGGTTGTTGCCAGGTTCGGCCCTCAGCCTCGCTTCTCTGCCCAGACCATTCACCCCTCAACGTATCTTTCCATCTCACTCCTCAACGTATCTTTCCATCTCACTGGCTCGCTTCAATAGCTCGGCCCTCAAGCTCAACTTCCCTTACCTAAAGGATATGATTTGGGAGTACTTGGCGCTTGTTCGCGTGTACACCAAGAAAAAAGGCCGTGCGTGTTTAGCGTTGCTTTTGTCGTTTGCCCCCGCTTTCCCTCTCTGCTGGAGCGTTTCTCCATCCAATCCTTTCTCAACGTCACTTGCCGCGCCGGCTTTCTTTCATCGATCAACAGAGTTCCCGGACCTGTCAGAGCCTCTGGTGCTGCGTGGTGGGTGCACCGTTCGCGACGCTTGCGCCGCGCTGCATCGGACCCTCGCGGATCAAGTCAAGTCAGCTCTTGTTTGGGTGAGTTATTTCGTCCCTGTTTTCATTCCACCCTCTGAGTCTTTTCAAGCTGCCTTGCGTGCGCTGCTTGTGCCCCTCCTACACCGTCCTTCCGATGCCATGATTCCAACTGAATGTTTTGTTGCCAATCATGTGACAGGGCACGAGCACCAAGCATGACCCCCAGAAAGTGGGATTAGCGCACCTGCTTGAAGATGAGGACGTTCTTCAAGTCATCAAGAAATAGAGTTTTGCTCTTTCCTTCTTCCTCTTACGTTTTCTATTTTTCCATGTGGCTTTGCTTTTTTTTGAGCATCAGCTCTTGCCGCTTGCTCCTGATTGTGTGTCAAGCTGTACACCGCGAGGATCTCGGTCACCAAGTGACGATCACACCTCAAAAATCGACCTCTTTTTTTTTTCCTTTTTCTTTCTTTTTTTTTTTTTTTTTTTTTTTTTCTCTTCCATTTGAGAGCTGAGGTGATTTTAAACAACCTTGGTTGGCTGGGCTCATGAAAGATTTTGAAATCATGTTTAGTGCACCGATATTCAGCGGCAATTTCTTAGACTTTGATTTGCTTCCTAAACTCAATGCCAAGGCGACAGATTCCAGCTCAAGGCCTGGCCTTTAGAGGATACTGCTTTTCAAACTTGGCGCAAAACGGGCTTTACCAAGTGGCTATAGCTGCTGCACAGCATCGAGTAGCTTGGCAAAGGTTGCATGCTGCTCGTCCTTGGTCTGCTCTAGCTGCTTAACCCGCTCATCACGGGCCGCCAGGACATGCTGAAAGTATTGCTTTGCCTTTTCCGTGTTGTCGTTGCGAGCTGCCATGGCCTTTTTGTGAAGCCAGGTGATCAACATGCCGACACCATGACCCGAAGCAGCACGGCGCCCAGATCTTGGCACAACCATGCCCAGCACCAAGAGTGGAAAGCGACCCTTGTCACGAGCCATCGCTCGCTGACTCTCGTCCAGCTGTGGCGGAGTGGTTGAATCAGCTACGTGCAAGAAGAAAAAAAAAAGATGACGATGGGCCGAGGGCGCGTGAGTCTCTGCTGGTAGCGAAATGGAGGGGAAGGCTATGGAGTGCATCTGTCGGGCCAGGAACGTACGGGGCATGCCAGGCACATAAAGCTCTTCCCGGATCAAGGCCAACTCCAAGACCTCAACCATGCCGCTGACCATGCTGTTCATTTCATGGACGTACGCCGCCCCCTACATCGTGGTGATTGCAGTGACGACAAGAAGAGGAAAAAACAAATTCATGACCAAGGATAAAAGCCATGAGCACTTGTGAAGATTTATAGGCTGTCAACACCTGCTCGCGAGAACTCACACTTGTGTCCACTTGCTCGGTCAGGGCTTGCCGGAAGCTCGCACTCAAGGCAGTCCAGCGCTCAATGATATCGTTCTCCTCGGCAATGAGCTGCTCCAGCTCGGCACGACGGTTGGGGTGGCTCAGCGCAGGCTTGAGCAGCACCACCACTTGCTGATAACGCTGGCTAAGATCGGCGAGCGTTTGCTCGAGTTCAGCTGTTGTGTTTTGCAGCAAGCGGCGATGGTTGTCCAAATTCGCCACGGTGATGCCTTCGAAGATTGCTGCTGCACCGCTCGACATGACGGCAGTGGCAGACTCAACGGCATTGATGAGCTCCTGCGCCGAGGCAATGCGGAACTCGGCTGCTCGCTTGTTGACCATGTTCAAGTCCATTTGAATATTATCCATAAAAGATTGAATGGTTTCCTTGATTTGGTTTGGTCGCAGTGTGTGCTTGGCATGGCTACAAAAGTCAAATTGATGAGTGAGATCACGCTCTAAGGGCCATGAGCACCAATCCACTCGTGCGCCGACCGAAAAGAAGGCAAAAGAGATCGCGGGGACAAGGGTGATGAAGAGATTGTCTCGTACCCGCGCTCATAGTAGGGCGTGGCTGCCTGCAAGACATCCTCGCGACAGGCGGTACGAAGTTGCGTAATGTGGAACAGAAAAGTGCCCGTTGGGTAGGACGGCCATTCCTCGACCATGAGACGCATGCCACGCAGGGCAACCGGCAGCGTGTTGCTAACATTGGCAAGAACAACAGCGTTGGAAAAGGGATACGTCGTGTCAGCAAGAGCAATGTGTGGTTTTTTTTGGAATCAAGCCACATGTCGCACAACTTACTTGAGAGGGCCGCGAGGAGGCAGTTTGCCCGCTTTGGCAGCGCTGCGTGACGAGCTTCGAGGGGGCATAGCCGAGTGACGGCCTGTAGAAACTCGACCAGAATTTTGCCCGGCTGTATTCTTCGTTGCCGTCGATGGTCGATGGTCTCCGATCGAGGTATGAGGAGCGCCCGGCAAAATGCAGTCGAGATACTTGGAACGCTCCAGAATGAGTGACGAAACAATTCGAGTCTTCTCAAACAACAGTCGAGCAGAAGGCGGATCTTCCAGGCTGAGCTCGCGCAGCGCCTCCGCCTCCTCCAGCAGCTGTGATGGCACACATTGGCGTGGGTTTGGCGTCAAAGAGCGTGCTCACAGAGACGCACAGGATTGACCGTGCCTGCAGCTTCTGTTTGCCTTTGAAATTACCCTTACCTTTTGGTGTCGTGCGTTGCTGTGGTTGATCTCCGATTGCACGCGTACCTGGGAAGCGAAAAGAGGGCAGCGAGCCAGGTCAATGAGACCCAACGCCACGAGCGACAAGACGTCACCAGAGCCTCTGTGAAAAACGGTTCACGCACGCCTGCAACACTTGACTGACCTTGTACGAATTCATGATACGCTTGGTATCATCCAAGAGCTTGACATCGCGCGAGTGCACGTTGTACAGGGAGTAAAACTCATCAATGGCAACTTGAGCTGCCTCGAGGTAGCGCCCCTCCAGGACTATATTGTAAATGCGCACCAACCAAGAGTAAGATGCGGACCAACACTCAAAAAGCTGAACATGCATGTTGGCGTGTAATAAACGCACCATCTAAATCCTCCAAAACAACTCCCTCTAGTGCGTCAATCTTCGAGAAGAGCTGGTCAATGACCAGCTTGTATTGGCTAATTTCGGCGGCGCTGAAATTACCCTTCTCCGTAAAAGTGCGGAAGGAGGCTCGAAAGTGTGCATTGCGCTCCCGAAACAAGCGCACGCGATCATCAATAGACTGCGCGACACGGCGATAACACGAGGACCCCATGAGTCGATGGCCCCTCCTCAAGCCGTTGAGTTCGGGGAGGTGCAAGGTCACGCACCTTGCGATAAGTGATGAGCGCCGTGCGCACGGAGCGCACGTAGTCCTCGTGCGCTTGGCGCGTATCCCCGTGAAGCAGAACTAAACGGCCCGTGCTGCCCTGTTGAGCCAGATTATCGATAGCAGCGCGAGTGTATGCCACAAATTGCTCAGCTTGATCTGATAAGTCAGCCTGCTGTTGCAAAAATCTGCAATGTGGGAAAAATGGCGTTAGCGTGCGAGGCCGCGGGAAAGAAAAGTACGCAGAGCGGGTTTGCCTTTCTGCTTTGTCTCACCGGTCGCGCTCCTTGTCCAAGTCGCTCTCAAGATTCTGCGTATGCGCCACAACGTGCTGCTGATGCAGCGTCAGCTCGGCGGAGCGCAGATTACGCACGTCTTGAGCGATTCGCTGTCAAAAGCATTGCAAGAGCGACGTGAGGTATTTTCTCGAGAGTCAATTGCGACAGAAGACAATGGTGCTTTCTTTCAGATAGACCAAGAGTACCTACCTCACGGCGTGCAGCGTGGACGGCAACGTGCATCTTGTTTTCAATCTCCAGCTCACGAGTCTTTTCCGAGATGTACTATGATTGCGCAAGAGGTCAGCCACACACACGCGTGAGAAGAAGCGGATGAGCTGGTACCGCGACGCGGAGCTGCCAAGGTCGGGTAGTTACCTGCTCGGTGCGATGATTGATGGACTTGAAACGATCCTGAACTCGCTCCACCCACATTTGACAAACTTGGCGCCAAATCTAAACAGAACCATGGAGCAAGACGAGATCAACAGACGAGCACCACTGGGCAGGATGGGGCTTATTCGGAACGCCAAAGATGGCTGAGCCGAAACCACTTTCATAGAGCAAAGAAGCACAACCCGCCGACCACCAAATAATCAAAACAAAAAGAATGACGCGTCATGCCACAAAACACCGCCAAGTGTTTGGAACGGCGAGGGAGAAATAAAATTAAAACAAAGCCGAGCAGCTGCACAACACGCACCTCTTCAATTGCATCTTCGGGGAGTAGAAGCTGGTGGCAAACACCATCCACGCTGGCGTTGAGGTTGATCCAAAAGGGAGTGACCTCCACAGGACGGGCACTGGGACCCTGGGCATCCGGGATGGCGTCTACCTCCTTGCGCAGATCAGCGGCAATGTCCCAGCGGCGGGACAGGAGCTCAAAGCGTTCATCCCCCACGTCGATGACCACGGCATTGCTAAAGGCAGCGGGTGGTACACCAGGTGGGAGCGGGCTGAGCTTGAGGGTGGCGGTCACCTCGTTTCGATACGCTTGCAGAATTTGTTTGACCGGCAGCTCGATTTGAGCGGGCGTCTTGGCTGACTTGACGCCCGCATCCATAATGAGAGTTTCAATCTTATCGAGCAGAATCTAACGGTCGAGGAGATATCATGAGGGTGAAGGCGATGGGCCGGGCCTTGCAAGGAGCGTTATTGGCCCGCAAAAACATGCAATTTCCTCTGCATACATACCGTGACGGTGGAGTGGGCACGCAAAAGTTCTTCGTTGGATCCCGCCTGACGAACAAGGTCAATGTGGTCGTTCAGAGTGTCTTCAAGCGGGCCGCGGGCATGCTCCAGTTGATCCGCTTGCTGACGCAGGTTGGTGAGAATGTCCTCCTGGGCCTGCCGAAAGTCAATGTCAGTGTGGCGCTGCAGACCCTCGAGACGCTCCAGAATCTTGAGCAGGCTGTGTGTTTGCGTGGTGATGGCACCCTGGGTTCGAATGAGGCGCTGTTGCACGTCGGACGCCCAATCGCGAACGCGGCCTTGCTGCTCGAGGATGAGGGGCATGCAAGCGCCTTCAAGAACTTGGACGGCTTCATCCATGTCGACGGCATAGTGTTGCTCGACCATGTGGGTTTGTGCTGCCTGAAGACGAGCGAAGCATTCGTCATCGAGCTGATCGAGGACGCGTTCCAAGTCGTCAGTGGCCGTTTTGTGGCACTCGACCAGCGCATCCTGGGCCTCGCGCAAGGCCAGGGAGGCGTCGGAAGCCGAAAGGCTATTGAGCCTGTTGAGAACGTTGAGGAGATTGTGATAAATGCCTGTCTGTTCCTGCCGGAGGCGGTCGATGCAGGCCGGGACACCCTCGCTGAGTGGCTTTGGGTTGGTGCATTCGAGGCTGAGCTGGTCGGCAATGCGACCTTGGTGCTGGGCGCGCCAATCGGCCTCGAGGAGCTGCCAATTATGCTGCAGAGCAAACTCGCGTCGAACCTCATGGGCCAGGAAGCGAGCCTCCAGGTCCGCGAGGTCGTGTTGATTGCTCAAGAGTTCTTGGTTGATGCGCAAGGCGTGCTCAAACGCCCATGCCTCAATGTCAGCGGGGAGGAGATGCGCAATCGAGCTAATGAGCTTGACATGGTGGTGCAGCAGGCGCTGCAGCTGCACCCCCCTCTCCTTCTCAATGTCTCGAAGATCTTGCAAAGCACGGCGAATGTCAGCCTTCCGCTGGTTCGTAAGCCGGCCCATGTCGGCGCGCACCCGCTGAAGACGGGCATAGTCAGCCTCAAGGATTTCGTTGGTGAGCAGCTGCAACTGTTCTCGGGAAGAAGCTTCATCCCGGGCCAGGTCGTGCTGAAGCGTCTGAACGGCGCGCTGGAGGTTGGCTGTTTGTTGATCCTGCATGCGGGCGAGTTCGGCAAAAAACTGTTGCTCGGCCACTCGATGGCGCTCCAGACGAGTACGCCGCAGCTGCTCTTCTAGTGGGAGCGAGCGCGGGTCTCGAGATGAAGTAGCACGGCGGTCATCGGCGTCGGATGGTTGTGCGCCAACGACCTGACCACGGGGTGTGGGTAGCACATCGTCTGGCAGGGTAGCGAGATCATCGCGCAGATCTTCCGTGGTTGCGGGAGGAGGAAAGTAATGGGCTTCCTCGCCGGTCGCAACATCTTGGCTCGAGTTGAGGTCAGCGACTGAGGTGGCGTCGGTATCGTCAACGGACCTATGCATGAGCCATTGGTTTGTTGAGCAAGACGACAATGTGGGATCCGTGAATCAGGGTACATGTGTGTGTGCGTGTGTGTGTGTGTGTGTGTGTGTGTGTGTGTGTGTGTGTGTGTGTGTGTGTGTGTGCGAGGGGGGGGGGATCCAGTGCAAAAAGGCGTATTTGGTCGCTTGCACGACGCAAAGGTAGAGGGCGACAAGCTTACGGGCGTTGAAAGCGAGTTTTGCGGAGCATGGTCGTGCCGGCCATGGCCTGGTGAGAGGGCAGACGTCGACTCGGCGCAACCGGAGTGCGTTTTTGACGATGTTCCTGCAGTGAGGTCATCAGTCGCGTCTGCGCCGTCATGCTGAGCTCGGCGGCCATGGTTGCGGTGGCAACCCGTGAGCAGACACAGCGGCTATGTTCCCCTCGACTTGATAAAGCAAGTGAGCGGCGAAATTGCCCTGGCGTTATCAGAGGGAAGGTGTGCCCGAGACAAGTGAAAAACTTTGGGGTTTACGCCATTGCGCTCACGCCATCAGATCAAAAAAAAACAAGCTCCGGGGAGGGGGGTCGGAAGGAGCCGAGCGGGACCGAGTCCCGACGTGGGCGGCGTGATCAGGCTTGTCCTCGCACTGCTGACGCGATTGATGGACAGCCAAAATCAAGATTGCTCGCCGCTCCGCGTTCTGTGTCCCATGGCAATCACAGGCAGACACCGGAAGCGCATGAGTCATGGCACGGTCAAGCCCCACATACATTCCTCTACAACCTTGCACCTCAAATACCCCAGCGACCTCAGCATCGATACCACTGATCCCCCTCCGTTCCCACTGATCCCATCCCCCTCCCCCTCCCCGTCCCCGTCCCAGCTCCAGCCCCAGCTCCAGCTCCAGCTCTGCCACAACGAGCGCCGCTCTCTCTCTCACGTTTTCGCAGCCATACACTCGTTGCCAAGTCTCTAACCTTTAGAAGTTGAAAATAAAGGGGTTTATTATCAAGTGTGCTCATTGATACACTTTCGAATATTCGTTGACAACCAGCACTCTGTGCGTGTGTCTGTCTCTCTCTCTCTCTCTCAAACTCTCAAACTCTCAAACTCTCAAACTCTCTCTCTCAAACTCTCTCTCTCAAACTCTCTCTCTCAAACTCTCTCTCTCAAACTCTCTCTCTCAAACTCTCTCTCTCAAACTCTCTCTCTCAAACTCTCTCTCTCAAACTCTCTCTCTCAAACTCTCTCTCTCACTCTCTCTCTCTCTCTCTCTCTCTCTCTCTCTCTCTCTCTC